GCATTCTCATGCTCATGGACAATCGAGAATGGCTTCGCGTTCCCACCGCCCCAGCTGATCCCAGCAGTCATCCACCACGCGCAACGCACCCACGCATCACTCACCCTAATCGCCCCACACTGGACGGGGGCAAACTGGTGGCCACTCTTACAACCCTCCCCACCAAACTGGGCCCCGCACATCAGAGCGCACATTCCCCTGACGCACGGCAGCCAATGTCTAGCAGTAGGAACGCACCGCACTGCATTCTCAGGCACAGGACTACCTCATAGCACAATCATTGCACTACGAGTGGTCTTCAACTAACCCGCCTACACGTTTGTGCGCAGACGTGTTGCCGAAGCTACAAGTCCAGCTTCTGAAGATGCTCTCCCAGACTCGGGCCGATTCAACGATCCGAACATATGAGCCATACTGGGTCAAGTTTCGAGCCTTTTGTGCAAAGGTGAACCTCCCATTCCTCCCCACGGCGGACATGACCCTCGCGCTGTACCTGGTGTACGCGATCCAACACAAAGCCACCTTGTCCATGGTACAACTCACATGCATGCTCAGTCGTGAGCTTTGCACACCGCATGACCGGGAGCATCTGCCCAACGATCGGACCATTCACCACTCAAGTACGCGATTTCGCAAAAAGGCACTGCCCTCTTCCCATGCGAGTGAAGGAGCCTGTCTCGCTGCAACAAGTCCACGACATGTCTGCCAGCTACCTGCAATCCGACAACCCATGAGAGTTCCAAAAGGGGCTAATCCCCATCCTCATGTACACCGGATTTTTAAGATACTCGGACCTCATCGTCATCGAGTGGCAAGACATCGAGTTCGAGAACGAGGTCATGTGGATTCTAATTCCGTACTCCAAGATGGACCAAGCTGGAAGGGGCACATGGATACCCATCGCCGCAACTCATGACCCCTTTTGCCCCGTCCGCTGCACCCGACGACTCATCCAGCTTGCGGGATACAACCAGCAATCTGCGGGGCCACTTATTCGAGTCTTTGGACGCGGTTCACCCCAAAGTGGCCAGGCAAGGCCGTCATCATACCCGACGATCCGAAACTGGTGTAAAGAAGCGTTCGGGAGGATCGAATTAGGAGAACAGCAGCTGGGCACGCACTCCTTTCGCAAAGGAGTAGCCACTGCCGCGGCAAACACCAGTGTGCCAGACAGAATCTTCAAACGACTGGGCAGATGGCGCAGCGACACAGCGAAGGAGATGTACGTCACGCCCAACGCCGAACACCTCGTCAACGCCTCCCGTCAGTTGCAAGATCTGGCATACGCCCCTTCTTCAGCGCAGCATGCCGAGGCACTCGTCCGCCATCGAAAGCCCCCGCTGCCCATGTCTCAGAGACCCCAGTTGCAATGAGAACGATGCCAAATGATCAGTATAAGAAAGCAAGCTTTCTAAATATGATAATATTGTGAAAGCGCAGCTTACTGTAGCGAAGCAAGGCAACGGCCAATTACTATTCGCCGAGTACATAACGAGGGTTGGAGGCCTTTTGGTCTCCACCCACGTCTTCATTTCGGAACTTCGCAGTTCCATTCCATTCTCGTCCAACCACCTCGTCGTTCAACTTTCTCATTCATAGCTCTCCTTTTTATAGAAGGCGATGGCGCTCTGCACCAGAACTCCGATTATAGGAGAGGACTTATACGCGCCCACAGCTGTACCCTTCTGCCAGTGGGCGCGCATGACCCAGCGGGCCCGGACTAAGTGACAAAATCACCTCAGGCGCGCCTGTGACGAAATCGCCTCAGGCGCGCCTGAGACGAAATCGCCAATGGTGCACTTGAGACAAAATCGCCTGTGGTGCGCTTGAGACAAAATCGCCAGCTCCCCTGAGACGAAATCGCCAGCTCCCCTGAGACGAAATCGCCAGCTCCCCTGAGGCGAAATCGCCAGCTCCCCTGAGACGAAATCACCATAGGCGCGCCTGACGACAAAAGCGCAACTGGCGCGCCTGACGACGAAACCGCCAGTGGCGCGCCTGGCGACGAAATTGCCTGACGAGATTGCCACCAGCGAGACTGACAACGAAATCGCCACCAATGCGACGGATGACGATATCGCCACAGTCGAGCCTGACGATATTGCAAGGGCGCGCCTGCAAAAATTGTGGTGTGACAAGGCGAAAACGCCACGGACATGACAGGACGCCTCCGCTACATCAACCGCTGCAACTTCTACCGGCAATGCGGACGTGACGCCTGCACCGTTATTACGATTTTTATTGCAACACGGGTATGTGTTTCCATTTTTCAAATTGGTCAGTAATCATGTCTTCTCCGCTCTGGTTTTCACTGATCGCAGTTTGCAGGAATATCTGCGCACGGACGAGTGTCAACGCTTGGCACATCCCCGCGTCGTTCCCAGGAGGGGAAGGGGACCGAGGGTCCCGGTTGGCCAGAGGGCCGTTCCCCATGGGGGGAAGGGGACCGAGGGTCCCGGCTGGCCAGAGGGCTGTGCCCCATGGGGGGAAGGGGACCGAGGGTCCTGGCTGGCCAGAGGGCCGTTCTCCATGGGGGGAAGGGGACCGAGGGTCCCGGCTCGTGACATGCGGAGATTGAGAGAGAAAGAGACACGAGAGCTGGCACACGGATCATTGTGCCAAGGAAGGAGTATATGCACATTGCGACAAGCTTGTGATATGTAGAAAAAAGGGGACTTACCCTATGCCATCCTTGGCTGCCGGTATAATGCCTTTCAAAATTGTATTTGCCCTGGTACGTGTCCTTGTATGTGCCTTTGTATTGATTGTCCAAGACAGATCTTGCGGAATTGGTTACATTATAAAATGCTCGAAATTGAGAGCCTTGGTTACAAACCACCTTGAACATGGCTTAAGAAACAATGGTTTTAAGGCTTTAATATGCTGCCCCTGACTCAAACAAGGAACGGAGATCCACCTACTCTCACATTGAGTCCGAGGTTTTGAACACAAAAATTTAGAAAGCTTGCTTTCTTATACTGATCATTTGGCATCGTTCTCATTGCAACTGGGTTATTACAACATGCACCTCGAGCTAGACAATATAGATGCTCGTACATGACCTGATTCCACCTACCATAGTATTGTACTAGCTATCCTGCATTATGCGTGCGTACTACCAGTCATATGACTAACTGTCTGTCCTCCTGTTCCAGCGGCGTCGCAGATGTCCTCGGTGTCGGGGTGGGGGGTGGGAGAGTTGCATGAGCCGTTGGAAAATGAGAGACGTGGGTGGAGGGAAATGAGCTCCAACCCACGTTTTGTAGTTGGAGAAGGGCATTTAGCGCGCTTCGACGATGCAAAATCTGCGTTACAGGCAGCTGCGCTTTCGAAATACGTAATTTTGAAAAACACTTCGTGTGTTTAAAAACACATTTTTAGAAATTGTTACGCACTTTCTAAAAATTCATATCTACGTGGATGTCCCTAGAAGCAGCAATGGATGCTATCGCACTACCGATTACGACGTCGCCAGATCCCGAATATGCAATGCAATCCCTCTCCACCCCGTCGCATCCCACCTACATCCCATCACCTTATTATCCTCCTCCCACCCAGCCCAGCAATATGATTCCCAGATTCGAGCCGCGTCGCTCCTCCCTTCCTCCTCGCATACATATCCATCAACCTGCTAGACTCCCGTTGTCGCCACCAGGATTTTTTCGTAGAATCACCTCAACCGATCGCTATTCTCCATGAATCTCCTTCGCGCTTCCCCGCCGGCGTCTCACCGGGTCGCAGTTAGCTCGATCACACCCGCCGTTTCTTCTTCCTCTTCTTCGTCCTCTCGCTGCAATCCGTGTTCGAGGCGCAGACCTAACGGCCACACCCCCGCATCCACACGTAATCTCCTATGGAATGTGTCGTCTAATGCGCGTACCTTTTTCCCTTCCTTCCAATCACCGCTCGCGCCAGTACTGTTAATTCCCGTGGCAACACGTCCTCCGTCGATATGTGATGGAACAATCCTCCGAATGTCTGGCTCTAGCAGAGTTCGTTTCCGAATTTCCGCGAGTGCCACGTCACCCGGCCGCGCCTCGCCATACTTCCTTCAGCAGAATTACGGTTCGCCTTTTGTCCAGTTCTCTGGCGCCGCGGGGATTCGGACCGTTGAGCTGTCCACGTCAGACGAGTCCACGTGTCGCATTCTGATTGACGGCGCTCGAGTGACGTCGTACCGCGCGATGATGTGGCACGGTGCGGTGGAGGAGTTCCTACACGCGGCGACGAATGACGATGACGTGGCGACTGCTGACGTGGACGGCGACGACTCTTCCAGCCCATGTAACCTGATTCGAGGGGGGCTCGTCGTCAGCTTCCCAGCCAGTGGCGCGCTGACAGCTGGCAGCGGCAGGAGGGTGTCACTTGGCGAGCTGGCAGCGCGAGGCGAGTGGGAGGTGACGTCAGCATCAAGCGCACCCAACGGGAGCTGGGCTAAGGTGGGACTCGGAACAAGACAAGGGGACAGGATGGGTGTGGGTATTGGGAGGGGATGGGAGCGGGAAGGGGGAGGAGAGGAGGGGGAGGCCCTCTGCCTCTCCTCATGATTGCAGCAGCACCTTTTTCAGCTTTGATTCTTCTTCCCCGCTTTTTATTGCTCTGGTTATCTCCCTCCATTTCGTCCTTTGCCTCTCAATTTTCATCCCGCCTTGCTTATTCCTTCTTCATTTTTCTCGTTAATGCCTCATGGTTTCTCAGTGCTCCCTTTGCCGCCAAACCCTTCATCCTTCTTTCTCTCTGCTCCCTGAAACTGTCTCTTGTTGTTCCTGCAGATTGTGCTCTCTCAGTCATTACATGCGGATTCACACCCTTCTTCTTCCTCCTCATCCTCCTCAACCTCCCCATCCGCCTCCTCCTCCTCCTCTTGGTCAGGGACCGCCTCACTCGCCCTCACCATCACTCTCACTCCCAATTCCCTCTCCTCCTCCCTCAGCGTGCAAAACACTGCCACTCGCACCGCCAGTACCACAAGCAGCAGCAGCAGCAGCAGCAGCAGCAGCATGACACAACCCACCACACGAGCATCCTCACAACCCACCAGCACCCCTCAGCAGCCCTCCCCTGATCTCCTCTTCGCCCCCTCTCTCGCCGCCCACCTCTCTCTCTCCACCATCAACGGGGCTCGCCTGATCGGCTGCAAAGGCGTGCGGTACTGTGGCAGTCGTAGTGGCCGGCAGCAGGGGCGGCAGCAGCAGGAGACGGCTGAAGGAGGAGGGCTATGGGGAATGGGAGGTTTATTCGGGCAATTGGGCAAGAAGAAGCAGAGCAGTGGGAAGGTGGAGAGAAGTGTGGGGCTGCAAGAGTTAGAAGCAGCAATAGCAGGCACAGCAGCAGGAGGTACCAATGCAGCAGTAACAGAAGCAAATAAAGGAGTTAGTCCAGATGACAAGGAAATGGTAGGGCGGCTGCAGGGGCTGTGGAGGGACGTGTTGGAGGGGGGAGAGGAGGGCGTGGAGAGAGCAGACTATGCTGATATTGAGGCGCCTATAAAGCGGATGTTTGTGGACGGACCTAGCTCGGTGACACTCCTTGATAGAGTAAGTGGTGTGACTGTAAGAGGCGTGTGCATGTGGGTTCAATAGAAGCTCGCTTTGTATGTGCATGTGGAGTGCGAGTCTAGGCTGGATGGCAGGCATGGCATCTCGCAGCCTGAAGGGAATGGGGCGCGTGCAAGCAGCAGGGGGGGTTAGTGGCTGGGTGGCTGGTGTGGTAATAGTGTTTCCGAGTTTGGGGCTCTTTTCGAGTATTAATCTGTGGCCATTCCAATGAGTCACATAATCACTGCAAACTCTACAACTGCCTCACACACACAGTCCTTCTCAACCCATCCCCCTCTCTCAGGGTCGCAGGCTGTCCTTTCGCCTCACAGCCGTTGGATTGGGAGATCTGACGGTGCATGCTTCAGATGAGACCTGTGGGCTTCGAGACTGGGACGAGTTCATCTGTGTTGGCTTCTCCTGTGCCCGGAGCCCGCTCACACTTGCTGCTGGCGGATCATGGACCGGGACTTTCACAGTTACCAACCTCGGCGCTCCCTGAATGATGAAGCGTTGAATACCGTATTACCCCCCCACCCCCCCCCCCCCCCCCCCCCCCCCCCCCCCCCCCCCCCCCCCCCCTTTTTTGTCCCGGGGCTTGATATAAGCCAAAGGGGTGTCATTTTTTTTTTTTTTTTTTTTTTTCAATTACGGTACGGTAAAAGCCCCTACCCAATTCGTGGGGATCCCATAAAAGTTGAGATCCGGCGCATAAGTTTTTTTTAGTAGCAATCTAAGCCTCGGGGTGATAATCAAACCACCCCTAACCGTTCTTTTTCATTCTGGAATCCACTATATCGAGATCCAGTATGGCGAGAACAGTGTGTAAGTCGTCGCGTGGGAGAGGGAGGGGTGAGCCAAGAAGACGGAGGGCCAGACCCGAAACGCGCTACTAGAATTGCGAGCGAGCTGAAGCACCAGACGCGAAATCCGCCATAGGTACCGTACGTTCGTGTTCGTCGCATCAAGCAGATTCACGGACGCAGCTTACTGGCAAGAGGGTACGTCGTGTAGTGGGATTCCAACTTCTTGGTCCAATAGGAGTCCCGTGACACCTGCCAGTTTTGTCCTGCTACTGTCCCTAAGAAATTGCACTTTGCCCTTAACAAAACCCTTACCGCGCGGCGATGAAGGGTGCGCGCGGTCGCGAGAGCTCGCGCCTGCTGTCGCTACCCGACGAGCTTCTCCACCCCATTGTCGCGCGCGTCGACCATCCGCGCGACCGCTGCAGCCTCGCCCTCTCCTGCTCCCAACTCCGCCGCCTCTCCCACCGCACGACCCACTCGCTCCGCCTCCACTTCTTCGCGAAGGAACAGGGGGTCACTGCCCGAGAATGGCTGAAGAACCTCGACGTTTATTCTGGGGTATTTACCCATGTAATCGACCTCACGGTGGAGGTTAGTTGCGGCACCCTGGACCATCTTCTGGGCGGAATCGGCGCGGGGTGGCCGCGACTGGAGAGGCTGAAGCTCGTGTCGGCGCGTGCCCGCTTTCAGATCAGCCCCGCGACGTGGAGGAAGTTCGCCACACAATGCCCGTGAGTGAGTGAGCGAGTGAGTGAGTGAGTGAGCGAGTGAGTGAGTGAGTGATTGAGTGAGTGAGTGGTTCTGGTTCCGCGCCGCGACGACTCCTCGTATACTTGTTCTCCCCCTTTCGTTCATTCTCTCCTTTATTCTCTAGCAGGTTCGTATTGTGAAAGTACTGCCCTGCGCAAAATTGTTTCTCCGCTACCCCGCTTCGCATGCTTTCCGTCTTACGAACCTCTATCACCAACACGAATTCGCCACACCCTCATTCGCCGCCGTTTTTCATTGCATGTGCACCGCCACTTGCCTGTTCTCTTCGCCGTTCCCGCGCCATGACTCCGGCCCCACTCGCTTAGCCTCTCACATCCTCTCCACCTGTGTTCCCTTCACCCCTTCCTCTCCCTCCTGTCTAAGCCTTGAACCAATTCCTTCACTGCATAGCAGCACCTCTACTTGTCTCATGTCTCCGCCAATTACCCAACCCATGACGCCCCGCTAGGCCTCTGGGCCTAAACAGTGGTTGTTCAGAAACGGCGGTAGCCTGTTCAACCCTTTGTGTAGAACCGCATACGTCGCACAATCATATCCCCCTCCACCCCTCTTCCCCCAATCTCTTTGCTCCCAGTGCTCGCACCTGCTCTCCCCCGTGCATCAGCCACTTGACGTCTCTGGACCTCAACTGCCATTTCGCCTACACCGACCCTCTGCCTCCCCCAGTGCACACCTTCCCCTCACTGCGCTCTCTCTCCCTCCTCTTCGTGCCCGCGCACCACCGCTGCATCGCCCTCTGCTCCTCGCTCACCTCGCTCGCCCTCTGGCACCCCGACGCCTTCGCCCTCCACTCCCTCGCATCCCCCTCCACCCCTCTCCACCGCTCCCTCACCTCCCTCACCATCCACAATGCCTGGCTGGAAACCGCCCTCACGCCCCTCGCCTCTCTCCCTCGCCTCGCCTCTCTCTCCTTCCTCTCCTGCACCATCGATCCCTGCGACCTGCACGCGCTCGCTCGCTCGCTGCACACGCTCACCCATCTGGCGGTCCACCACTGCCCCATGATTCCCAGCCACTTTTGAGTCGACTCAAAAGCTGGCGGTCCACCACTGCCCCATGATTCCCAGCCACTTTTGAGTCGACTCAAAAGCTGGCGGTCCACCACTGCCCCATGATTCCCAGCCACTCCCTCGCAGCGCTCGCTGAAAGCAACCCCGCGCTCGCCTCCCTCTCCCTTCACTCCACCTCCCACTTCCTCTTCATCGCACGCGGCCTTCGGGATCTCTTCCTCTCCTCCTCCTCCCGCCTGCACACCCTCACTCTCTCCGGGCTGCCCTCGTACCGCCCGGGCATGCTTGCACGCTGCAGCAGCCTGCAGTGTCTGACGCTGAGAGGAAGGGAGGCGGCGAGGGGGAGTATCCTGCCGTCTGAGTCGCCACAGAAGCCGTCTCTGGATTGCATTGTGGCCATGCTGGTGCGCGTGGAGCAGTTGGGGGCTCCTGAAGGACCGGAGGGAGGCGGCGATGGAGTGGAGAGGTGGAAAGGGGCGATGGTTGGGGAGAATGGAGGGCGAGGAAGCACTGCTGCTTCCCCTGCTGCAGCAGCAGCAGCAGGGGAAGCAGAAACAGAAGATGAAGCAGAGGCAATGACGGCTGAAGCAAAGGAGGGCGACGAAGCGGTATCGCCTGCAGCAGCTGCCACGCCGGTGGTCTGCAGCAGCAGGAGGCGACGGTACGTGGATTTGCGCAAGGAAGCAGCAGCAGGGCGCGCTGAGTTTGTGGCAGCAATGGACAACTGGATGGCGCTCACCAAGACGTCCAAGTGGAAGCTCAAGAAGGCCGCCACAGAGGCGCTGCGCTGGCGCCGCTTGCACCACAGGGTGGGGGCTCTCGATTTCATCTCCCAGGCTGTCGTTCAGGTGCTCTCCGCCATCCTGCTCTGCCGCTGCGTGCGCCTGGCTAAGGCCGAAATGAAAGGCTGGAGTGCACGCGAGGCGGCACTTGCAAAGGCCTGTCGTGCCGCCGAGGCCGCAGGCATCTTCACTGCTGCTGTGGAGGAGGAAGTGGAGGAGGAAGAGGGGGTGGAGCCGGAGAGGGATGACGAGGAGGGGAGGGGAGGGCAAGGGATTGATGCGGAGGAGGTGGTGCGATACATGCCCGAGGATGACCTGGAAGATGATCTGGCGGCCGTGAGTGAGAAGCTGCTGGCGTGGGTGGCGGTGCCGCGAGCCGACGCACGGGAGCTGCTGCACGCGCTGATGGAGCTGCTGCTGCTGGAGATGGAGGACATGGGCGCCCGCTTTGAGATCCATGACCCTGCACAGCCCCACCCCACAATACTGCCCGGATTGGTGATAGTTCCCGCGCTGGCAGCAGTGCCTGGGGCAGCGGCAGGAGGGTTGGTCACCGCAGCAGCGGGAGCTGGAGCAGCGGCAGCTGTTCCTGGGCCGGCAGTGCATGGAACAGCAGAAGGGGCAGCGGCAGAAGGGGCAGCGGCAGAAGGGGCAGCGGCAGAAGGGGCAGCAGCAGAAGGGGCAGCAGCAGAAGGGGCAGCAGCAGAAGGGGCAGCGGCAGAAGGGGCAGCAGCAGAAGGGATGGCGGCAGAAGGTACAGCGACAGAAGGGACAGCGGCACAGGATCCAAGAAGCGCACAAGAAGAAGCAAGAGGGGCTGTGGGAGAGGACGTGAGAGCAGCAGGAGCATTCGAGCAGCTGCCACGGGCCAAGCAGCTGGGCGGCAGAAGCTCAACCCGCCCACCTCCACAGGGGAGCGCACCCCCCAAGAAGAGCACAGTTTCAAAGACGAGCACACTGGCGACTCCTGTGGAGGTGCTCTGCCCCCCACTGGAGTCGCTGACGCTTGACTCCATCCGCTTTGTCTCCACCTGTGACCCTTCCGGGCTACCCTCCCTCCCCTCTGCCTCTCCCCTCATGTGCCCCTTTCCCCCCACCACATCCTTCCCTTCCGTCCCTTCTTCGACGCCCCCCTCCTCTACTATCCCAAGAATGAGTACCAATCGACAGACCTTTGAGTCGTTAGCACGAGCTGCTGTGTGTGGAAGGCTCAAGAGCCTGGCTCTCTTGAACTGCTGTGGGCTGGAGGAGGGGCAGCTGGAAGAGCTGCTTCGTGCATGTGGCATGCTGGAGGATCTAAGGGTGCAAGGCTGTGATGGCTTCTCAGGCAGCGTGATAGCAGGAAGTCGACTGGAGGTGTTAAATCGGTTGAGTGTGGTGGGTTGCGGTGGAATCACTGCTGACGCTATTGGCAGGCTGCTGGGGAACGTGCCAAGGCTGCAATATTTGGAGGTGGAAGGGGACAAGGTTTCTGAAAGGGCTCGCCGGGAGTTGCTTCGTGCTGGAGTGGTTGTTAGGGGAGTGTGAATCTGCTTGGCTGTTTTTTTTCTACCAAGCTTGCTTGTTTCACGCGCATGCCAAAAAATATTTACACTCTGTATAAGGCAATGCATTCTCCATAACTCCATTTCGCTTGCTCATTTACCAGTATACAATCTCTCTCCATAACTCCATTTCGCTTTTATATAACGAGTACATATCCACAGGTGAAACCGCACGGATCTGGCATATCGTGATTGCTGGGGGCACCTGGGGCTGGTGTCACCTGGCCCTGGTAACGAACACTACAGTATTCTGCTGATTGGTCGGTGATTTTTGGTCGGTTTTCGACTGTCCGCAATTTTCGCGTGCTTCAGCAGGTTCTCCCAGATTCGCTACAACGAAACCAGTTCTGTTTCGCAGAATACGTCACGCTGGAGAACGATTCCAGCGAAACTGTTTCCGCTCGTCGTTCTTTTCGTGGAAGGTCCTCTTTGCGCGAGTCGGTCACCTTCAATGGTTTGTCGTTCGTGCGGGGCAAATCTGAAAATGGGGCTGCTGCTGCTGGTGGCACATCATGTGTAGTGTAGTGAGCAGGTAGGCTTTGAATCACTTGCTCAACAAACACTCGCACGCAACCATCCCTTTTCCGCATTCTCGCACATAAGTGATCACACTCTGCAAGGTTATATTTTGCCGTGGACGATTGAGTAAGCGACTCCTATCGAGCCTCCTATTTAGCTCCGCCTTCACGACTTTAAGTATCTCCCCTAGAAGTAGCCAACCTGCAGTGGCGCGCACATTGACTGAAGCAATCGTCGCACACTGAGAAAAGCTCTCGTTACGCAAACACGCCGTGTAACCTTCAAGTTTAAGTCCGTCGCCATGGCTGGAGTACGAGCCTGGTGTCTTCTTGTCCTCGTTACCGTCTTCCTCGCACCCCGTGAGTAGCCTACAGCCTGTTAGGGACTTCCTCAGAGTCTAGTAGAGTCTCGACCGGCGACACTAACCCCCACATGTCTCCTGAGGCCTCCATAGTCCGTGTTTCGCGGAGCCTAGGAACATGCATCGAAATTCATGCGGTCCGTGCTTACCCTTTCCTTATGAACACTCGTTTCGATTCTTTATCCTCCATTACCACACCTGTCTCCCCCTCTCCTTACCCCTCCCCTTCCCCTCCACTTCCCCCTCCCCCTTTCTCCCCGTCGCTCCCGCGTCTTCCTCCCCTTCGACTCCCCCACCCTACCCCTCCTTTCCCCCAGGTCCTGCGGGTTCGTTTCCGTGAGATGCTCTTCGAAACACCACAAACCGATTGCTCTCCTGCCATCCCCGTCTTCCTCTCCCCTTCCTCCTTTCCCCCTTCCCCCCTTTTCCTTTCGCCCTTCCCTTTCCCGCCTTCCCCCGTTCCCCCTTTCCCCCTTCCCCCACGGCCCAACCGCTCTCCTGCGCGGACCGCGAACCCCTCCGCGTGCTCGCCTCCGACCGACGATGCGCGGCGACGGGCAACCTATCCAACAATCGCAACGCTCCGTGGGGGCGGTTCGTCCGTGGGGTCATCACACCGAACCAATCGTGGCGGCTTCAGACGCGGTGGAGTCGCAGGTGCGATCACGGTTCAGTCGCATGCCACGTGGCATCGCTGGTGCGATAAGGTTCAGTCACACGCCACGTGTACTCCATCGCGGAGCCCACAAATGCTTCCACGTCATCTGAACATCTGGCCTCACGATGTAACAAGGTGTTCCTAAAGACTGGCGGCAATACTCGATGAATGATCAATTATACAGAACCACTATGGCTTCTAAGGTGGCTTATAAGTAGCGATCCCTCTGTTGGTCAGTCCAGCATCTTAGTGGCATGATCTGCTGCTGACAAGACATGTCACCAACTATTGCTGTAACTGTGTCCCACCACCCACGCACGCTCCCCCTTCCCGGTCCCCCCCTTCCCCCCCACCCACCCCACACACACACACACACGCATACACGCACACGCACCAACACACCCTCTCTCACACCCCCTCCATCAGGTGCGCAAGCCCATCAAGTACACAACACAGTGCGGCTGGCGCGCAGCACCTCCCCCTGGACACGGGGAATCTCCGCCATCCACGCACACGCCCCTCCCCCCTCCCCCCCCACCCCCAACACACCCTCTTCACACATCCGTAATATCAGGTGCGCAAGCCCATCAAGTACACGGTGGGGCTGGCGCGGACCAAGTCGCCGTGGACGTGGGGCATCTCCACCATCGAGCCGCCCATGAAGATCTACGTCGGCGACACGCTCGGTGCGTGCAGCGGCTTAATAGATTGGACCTACGTAGAATATCACATGAACGTACTGTTTCTTGCACAAGATCACACCAGGCCAGACCTACTTGAGATGTCGCATGGCAAGACTGTTTTTGATTATTGCACAATACCTCACAACTCAACACTTCCCTCTTACACCCCCCCTACCCCCTCATGCAGAGTTCAAGTGGGCGAGCGCCAACACGGAAAATGACGTGGTGTGGCTGTTCTCCAAGGCGGCTTGGACCAGCTGCGACCTCACAACTTAGCACTTCCCTCTTACACCCCCCCTACCCCCTCATGCAGAGTTCAAGTGCGGCTGTTCTTTAAGGCGGCGTGGATGAGCTGCGACCCCCCACACACCCACCACACCCATCCCTCCCCGCTCTCCCCCACTCCACTCCCTCCGCCAGAGTTCAAGTGGCCGAGCGCCAACACAGTAGATGACGTGGTGCAGCTGCTCTCCAAGGTGGCTTGGACCAGCTGCGACCTTGCGACCAAGTGGGAGCTCTCCTCCCTTCCCCCCTCCCCCTTCCAGAGTTCCAGTGGTCAAGCCCCAACACAGTCGACCATGTGGTGCAGCTGTACGCACGCACCCACCACTCCCGTCCCGCCCCTCTCCTCTCCCCACTCCCCCATCCAGAGTTCAAGTGGGCGAGCCCCAACACAGTAGACGACGTGGTGCAGCTGTTCTCCAAGGCATCATGGACCAGCTGTGACCCTTCACACTCCCAACACACCCAGCACACCCAATCCAACCCACTCTCCCCCCTCCCACTTCCAGAGTTCAAGTGGGCGAGCCCCAACACGGTGGACGACGTGGTGCAGCTGTTCTCCAAGGCATCATGGACCAGCTGTGCCCTCGCGAGCAAGTCGGAGCGCCTGGCAGCGCAGGCGAAGAAGGGCACGGTGGCGTACAAGATCCCTGACAAGTACCGCGGCATGTGGGTCTACTTCGCTAGCTCCGCTGGGATCGACTGTGCCAAGGGGCAAAAGTTCAAGGTGTTTGTTAACTAGTTGGATTCGAAGGCGCCTACCCACGTGGACCCACTTGAAAGGTGGAGAAGGAACACCTGTGCACTGCACACACGATGGTGCGACGATGGGAATGACTCTGAAGGGCGGGAGCTTCACGTGTTTTTTGTTATCTACAGGGCCGTGGTCAGCAGGAACACCAATATTAGGTTGTACCATGTGAAGCAAAGTGATGTTCCTGAAAATTTGGAGACATATAAATCAAATCCATGGCATTAACAGCATTGACAAAGTAATAATAGGTATATGATATGACAAAGCCCCTGCAGCAGGAGGTTATTCAGGGAGGAAGCCTGCTGTGATCAATCACCATCATTTTATTCCCCTTGTTTTTTTAACAGGTGTCTACTCCTTACCTCGATTCATCTATCTCCACATTTACTAGAGGCAGATCCAAACTGTACATTTATGTTGACCTGTTGTGCTTGAGTAGGATGATGCGCACTTTATTACGGTTTGGTTGGATCACCACACCACCTTGAAGATGCATGTGTTCTAAATATAGCAACAGCTTAGGGTTAGACAGAAAGTACAAACTACGAATATCTACCCGGGGTGCACTACGCCCATGTAGGCCGCGATGTCCGAGGCTGCAACGGGGTTGATCATTATAATCTTACTCCCAATCTAGGCCATCGCATAGGATGGAGCAGGGAGGTTGATGACCGTTGATTTGACTTTGGTCATCATGAGAATGCTGTTGGTGACACCCTGTGATCCTATGCCACTCTCCCGGAAACCCTGAAGGAAAGGGAAGGGCAGGAGGAAAGAGGGACAGATGGATGCAGTGTGAAAAGGGGTCAACAGAAGGGGAGGTGCAGTGGGGAGGTGAAGTGGGGAAGATGAACGAGCAATGGTGAGCGCACTGAAAAGAAAAGGAGGCACTTGGACAATCAGCGTGCATACAATCACATGGGACATTACAAGCGCATACATGAAGCAAGCTACTAACTAGCATAAGCCACATGCATGCAAATAGTCATGGCAGCAGGAGGTGGGTCACCTGGAAAGGGAAGTCACCGAGCCCTATAACAGGGGCCACACGCATGAGCATCAACGCGCACACGAATCCAGCGTGCTAGCATAAGCCAGCAATGACATGCACTAACGGCAGCAAGAGGCGGCTGACCTGGAAGGGGAAGTGGTCGGGCCCTCTGGCAGGCGCTGCGTTGATCTGCACTGTGCCGGTCTCCATGGCGTCTGCAATCATGATGGCCTTGTTGATGTCCCTCGTGAACACACATCCCTGGAGGGATCAGGGGGGGATGGAGGAGGGGGAGAGAGTGGGGCGTGGTGGCACACGTCATAAGCGAGTGGGTCGGTGTGCTGACGGTCCGTCTCCATGACGCCTTCGCCCTGCAGGCTAGTTGTGATGAGCTTGCTAATGCCCCACGTCAACACACAGTTTTCATACGATGGGGAGGGGGGAGGAGAGAAGAGGCAGGTACATTTAGGAGTGGAGGGAGGGAAGAGAGTAGAGATTACAGCATGTGCTGTGGGTCCAAGGGGGTATTGCTGCATGCCTCCATCACATGCCCTTCCCTTCAATACTATGTGCTTCCATCATGTGTGCGCCCTCCATTCTCTCACTCGCGCACACACATGCACTCATGCACACACACGCACTCATGCACACACACGCACTCATGCACATACATGCACTTATACACACACATGTACTCTCACACACACGACTAACCTGCAGGGCGAAGGTGCTGGCGTTGCAGTGGTGCACGCCCTCCTCCACCGTGGTGATGCAGATCACCGGCACCACTCATAACTGATTGCTCACAGACCCACTCCCGCACACACATACCTGCACTGTGAAGCCAACACACGCACAGACACGAACCTGCAGGGCGAATGTGCTGGCATTGCAATGATGCACGCCCTCCTCCACCGTGGTGATGCGGATCACCGGCACAACGGGGCCAAACGGCTCCTCCCATGCCAGCCGCATGTCCGGCCGCACGTGGTCGATAAGGAGTGGCCAGATGAGGTTGCCCTCACGCTTGTACTCCTGGGGGAAAGGAACAGGGGATGAGGGGAATGCGAGCAGGAGAGACAGGCATGTGTGAGTGGATACTCTCTCCACGCCAGCCGCATGTCGGACCGCACGTGGTTTGCCAGATGCGGTTGCCCTCGTGCTTGTACTTCTGATGACGTGGAAAGGGAGGGAAGAGCGGGACGTGCAAAGGAGAGAGGAGCAGATGTGATGTGAGGGATACTCCGCCCATGCCAGCCGCATGTTTGCCAGGGTGGAGATCGCCTTTGAGTAGAGACGAAACGTTGTTACTCTTTTGCTGTTCTCCTAGTGAGGGAGATGGGAGCGGGAGCGGGAGACAAGGTTGGTTGCTCAATGATTGTGCAACAATCACACTCACAAAACCAGCACACTCCCACTCACAAACCAGCACACGCACAATAAAGACCAGCACCGCATGGGCACCTCACTGAAGTTGGCGCTGGGCTTCCTGACCATAGCTGCACAACACTATACAGACACGCAACGCCACACCCACACACCCTCTCACACACCCACATGAGAAAACAGTGCGCCCTTGTCCTTGGCATCCAACACGAGCCCCTCAATGAAGTTGGCACTGGACTAGCTGACCACCGGCACACACAACCAGCCACACACGGCACAGATATGCAACACCATACCCACCCACCCACACGCACACACCCACAGCCGCACAGTACTGCACACAAAAGCCTTCACACACCCACCTGGCAGAAGAGCGCGCCCTTATCCTTGGCATCCAGCACAAGCCCCTCTATGAAGTTGGCACTGGACTCGCTGACCACGGGGGTGATGTCAGCATCGTCCTCCGGCCGCCCCACCGTCAGCTTCGCCAGCCTGGCATTCACCCGCTCCACCAGCGCGTCTGCCACGTCCTCCATCACCAGCACCACCTTCACCGCTGTGCACCGCTGGCCGCTGACGTGTCGCGATGTGATTGGTTGAGGAGGGGAGGATGGGAAGGGAGCGGAGGCAGAAGAACGGTTATGGCTGAGATGTGGGCAGCAGAAGGAGCAGAGTGGATCCAGTCACACAAGGGTTGACCGGAAACGGAGAAACCATTACCTGGTGAAAGGCTTACCCGGTGGTGCGCTTATTCGATGAAGGTCTTATCAGGTGCGGCGCTTACCTACTGACATGCTTGTCTGGTGAAAAGCTTACCTGGTGATAGGGTTACCTGGTGACCTTGGCTGGTATTGGCTCACCTGTAGGAGAAGCCGCCTTTGACGATGTTAGCAGCAGCGAGGTCGAGGTCAGCATCGGGCAGCACAATGCAGGCATCCTTGCCGCCCAGCTCCATCTGCACCGGCACCATGCCCGCCTTGCGACAGATGGATATTCCCGTGTCGCCGCCTGTGAAGCTGCGGGGAGAGAGAGTCCGGGAGAGAGAGTCGGGGAGAGAGAGGGTTGGAAGAGAGCAGGTAAGGTCAGGGGCGAGTCAGCTCCATCTGCACCGGCACCATGCCCGCCTTGCGACCGATGGATATTCCCGTGCCGCCGCCTGTGAAGCTGCGGGAAGAGAGAGTGGGCAGGAGAGCGGGTTGGAAGATAGCGGGTAAGGTCAGGGGCGAGTCAGCTGCATCTGCACCGGCACCATGCCCGCGCTGCGACAGAAGGTGTCCCTGCCGGTGAAGCTGTTACGAAGAGGGGGTTGGGGGGACGATAGCGGCCAAGCACATATCCGCAAATTTCATCTCTCGCCTCTCTCCCTTTCGCATGGATACAGTTGAAAAACAAGCCACCACCCCTCCAGTTCCCTTGTCACGTGTCAAGCCATCATCTCCCCCATTCTCACTGACTCACGTGATGCAGTCAACAGCGGGGTGCATGGTGAGGAAGTCCCCAATGTCAGACCCCTTGCCAGTGACGGCGCTGATGAGCCCCTTGGGGAACCCCGCCTCCTGGAAGCACCGCACCATGTGCAGCCCTGCCACCGCGCCCTATGGGTGGAGTTGGAGGGGCAACCAGGGGCAAGGTAAGTGCATGGGGCGGTGAGGAATGGGGGAATAAGGGATGAAAGTACCGCAAAATGTGTAGCCCTCCCACAGTGCGCTGTGGTTTGAGTTTGATGGGCATTCATAGCCGCTTGTGCATGGAGGATGGGTCACGGCACAAGCTCAGGGATGTATACTCAGCACTATGGGAATGCTTCAAACGAAGGTACCTGAATGGGAGGCTTGAGCACAAAGGCATTGCCTGCGACTTTTGAGATGTCCCAAAATGCGACTTTTAAGACGTCTCAAAATCTGCAAGTACCTGAGTGGGAGGCTTCAACTGTGAGTACCTGAGTGGGAGTCTAACTGTGAGTACCTGAGTGGGAGGCCTTAACTGTGAGTACCTGAGTGGGAGGCTTTAACTGTGAGTACCTGAGTGGGAGGCTTTAACTGTGAGTACCTGAGTGGGAGGCTTTAACTGTGAGTACCTGAGTGGGAGGCTTTAACTGTGAGTACCTGAGTGGGAGGCTTTAACTGTGAGTACCTGAGTGGGAGGCTTGAACTGTGAGTTCCTGAGTGGGAGGCTTTAACTGTGAGTACCTGAGTGGGAGGCTTTAACTGTGAGTACCTGAGTGGGAGGCTTGAGCACGACGGCGTTGCCTGCAATGAGGGCAGGAGCGATCTTGGAGACAGCGAGGTTGACAGGGTAGTTGAAGGGCGGGATGCACAGCACCACTCCCAGCGGCACCTGGCACACGAGAATGCATGCAGGTGATGTTAAGTAAACCCTGTCGCGAGGGGGAAGGGCGGATGCACAGGACCACGCCCATAGTACGCGGCAGGTGACATAGATTCAGATGATTTCAGATTGGCTGCCACGCATGCACCCACCCACCGCCTTGGCTGCTTTGCACCCACCTTGGACCCCACGTATGCGCCCACACACCTTGGAGGCCATGCAGAGCTTGGTGCGGTCGTTGCCAGGGAAGCTGTCGCCCGTGAGGAACTTGCCCTCAGCCAGCAGCCGCACGCCCTCCTCCGCACAGTACGATATGAAGTCCGCTGATCGCAGCACCTGGGGTTGGAACGGCGTTGCTTGTTGATTAGAAGGACGTTGATATGGATGACGGTGGTTTGAATGACGTTGATTAGCGAAGGGTTTTCCAAGTCCTTGGTGCTTGCCCCAACCAATAGCTCGCAAGCTCTAGCCCGTGAGTCGAAAACAACGGACGCTAACAGTAGGGTGGGGATGAAGTAGGGAACAGGTTCAAAGTGTTCTGGTATGATCAGCAGGTCGATGCAGAGGAAATCCATCCATTTTCGAACTATGTGAGCCGTCACCTACGTAACAAAGCTCTATACGAATCCTTGCATTGTCTTGCGTGACGGAGTTCCCTTGTCGCCGTGGTGAACTCGTTCATGGGGTAAACGGGGATAGAATCAATGCACTCGCCAGTAATGTGAGCTTTCAACTTACTAACGGGACTGTATCTAAACGTCTCATTAAGTTGCTGATGAAGTTGGAGTGTTGCTCAGTCTTGCTCGGTGACGGAGACCTTACTCAGTGAGCCTTCACCCCGTAACGGCGTGTATCCATGCGTCATCTCGGTTGCGGTGTCTAAGCCTCACCTCGGTAATGGAATCCTTTCTGGCCTTGGCGACTTCTTTAACGAGGCAGTCGGCGATGGGGTCCTTGTGTTCGCGAAGGATGTGAGCGGCCTTGTGCAGCAGCTCGGCGCGCTTCCACAGCGGCGTCTTGGCCCATTTCTTCTGCGCGACCTTGGCGCTCTCGAACACGCCGTCAACCTCCTCTTGCATGCACCCTGCGTGAAGAAAGCGAGAATTGGGATGGTGTTAGGAACTTAACGCGTAGATAATCGCTATCCACCGAGACGATGCGAAACGGCATTGCTGGTCCGAAATCAATCAGTGAAACTAGTGGCGCGATCCGTTGCATCAGTAGCAGCTCACCTTGAACTCTGTACACTACAGTACGGGTACAAGGATTTATAATGTTGACTGTTCGGCCTGAAGCTGTCGTTCTCCATTCGCCATGCGAGAAGTACTTATACACATCTCCGTCGACAATGTCTGCATAGAAACCGCTTCCAGCCTTCTCCTCCGCCATGGATTCAGAGTGACAGTAACGATATGAGAAAACAGTAATAAACAATCGCAAGTTGCGCAGAGGCTGCTTCCCCTAACGTCCGACGCAACTCCGTCAGTTGGGTGCTTCTGTCGTGAAGGTCACAGAGCAAACCAAATTAGGAGCGGCTGAATGCTCTTGTAATCAACAATCTGATGAAATTGATGCTCTGATGGAAACGCGACTCACAGGAGATGAATTCCACGATCAGGATTCAGGCCAGGACATGATCCTGAAGGATGTGGAGGGAGGTGGTTCTCCCCTTGGGCTTGGGAGATAGATGCACAGGAGTGGAGGCGGGAAGCCGCTGCTGCTTGTGATTGGTTGTTGGCGCAGCAAGGAGAATACCGAGGTATCTTTCTGGAACTAAGGGCGTGTCCGGTTGTACGGTACAGTACATTTTTCGTTTACTTGATGTACAATTTGTATGGAGGCTCACCCTTGCTCGAATGGATGTAGGCGGCGCTCGTCAGCTTTTCCCAACGGTCTGACGATTTGAGTTGCTGCTTACCTCAGCACGGCTGGTCGATTGCGCATTATGACACCGGCCGTCACTTGCCTTCACTTTGTTGGTTTGGTTTATCTGCCCTGACCAAGCCGGGCAGATTGTGGTCACAAATCCTCAAAGCTCGTTGGATGATGGACAACACCGCGTTTGAACTCAAGCAACTGAACCGGACACCAAAACCTGACGACAAACACTGACTGCGAAATCAGGGATGATTCTACAAATACCTCTATCAGCTAAAATGCCTTATATTTAACGATCGAATCACCTAATATCGCGTATGCTCTGACCACACCAAGTCCGCCGCGCTTACTTCAGGAAATGCATTTTCAGAGCAACTCCTCGTGAACGCGGGAGGATACCTTTCCGCCGCCTTTGTCAGCGCCTGGACACCATGCAATCCCAGAGAACCAGTGAGTGGCTTCCTAGCCTGGCTGAGGAGGCCGAAGCTGCTCGGTTGACTCCAACGATGAAACTGGTCTCTACAAGCATCAGTCACACTCGAACGTCGTTCCAGTTGGTAGTATCAGTGGACAGCAAATTCTCACAGGCTGTCAAGAAGCTTGCTTGTACAAGCAACGCTCACGCGCCCTCGGTTAGCTTCTCTGCCGTACTGAAATGGACTCAGCCGTAGCGATGAGCACGATTATGGATACGCCAACAAGGAGTCCATTTCTATTGAAGAGCAAGTTTAAGACCCCAGGAAAGACAGGAGGTCCAGCTTCGTCATGCAGATCGGGACCCAGCAGGAAATATGGTCAGAAAGCGCCGGGATCCTTGGTCAAGGCGGGATGCAGCCACCTCAAGGCAAAACCTACAGCAACGCCAGTACCTTCGCTGAAGAAAGCATATAAGAAGGTTGGGATTACGCCCAAAACACCATTCGCGACCCCAAAGTCGACAGAGGTATGGGTTTGGAATCACGTTTCTTGTATTCCTTCCAAAGGTCCATACAACTGATTGAATCCAATGTTTGGCTGCAGGGCGACCGTTTCATTCCAAGCCGCAGCTACATGAATATGGACGTCTCAGCGTTCGCAATTCGTGGTGGTTTCGACAAGAGAGAGTCTACGAAGCTCATTTCCCCAGGCTCTGTAAGTGATTCCGTTATGATTGATGACACGCTTGACTTTTATGAACTAACAACTTTCCAATGTGTGTTCTCATAACCAGGAGAATTATCGAAAGCGACTTGAAGGCCTGATGTTGAGATGTTTAGACGACGGAGAAGGAAACTCGGCAAGGAAGCCAGGAGTACTATCATTCAAAGTGAAGACACCTGCTGAGTCAAACAATGGTATTGACAGCTTCACCAAAATGGCCAGAGGCAGTGACGTTTCAGGATGTCAGCCCCCTCCTCGTGTGATACCTCAGGTGACTATTCTGATGACATGTAGAACGACGATATATTATGTGAAGCATTACTGACTCTCAAACTTTTTTTTTCTCAGGAGGCAGAGAAGACGCTGGACGCGCCTGGAGTGGTGAACAACTTCTACCTCCAATTGATAGATTGGAGCATCTCTAACTTGGTTGCTGTAGCGATCGGAACCTCAGTGTTTATTTGGAACGGCAAGAATGAATCTATGGAGCTCATGACTGTTGAAACGGAGGATGAAGAGTCTCCCTATGTGACTGGAGTCTCTTGGGCTCCTGATGGCGTACACTTGGCGATAGGGGTCAGCAATTCAGAAGTCCAAGTCTGGAACGTCTCCATCCCTAAACAGGCCAGTATCTGCTACAAACGCTCCCGAGTCAGTCTGTTGAGGTACACGTTCTTGAGAATCCTGACTGACTGCTGCTTGGCCATAAACTGCAGGTCCGCACCTTCAAGGGACATTCGGGACCTATTTGTGCATTGGACTGGTACAAGACACTCTTATCAACCGGCGATAATGCTGGAACAATCATCAACCATGATGGTAAGCCATGTCTTCCTGTGCAACACACAACCAGCACGTCCACTCAAATCGGATAGAAAATACCCACCTTTGTGAATAGCAGCTCTTTTGAAGCGTACGTTCCAGCTTAACATTCGTCCTATCTTTCTTAAATAGTTCGCGCCCGGGAGCACATCGTCTCGCGTCTCATGGCCCATCCCGAGGGGGTATGCGGGCTGAAGTGGGCTCCGTCTGGACGCCAGCTCGCCAGCGGGGGAGACGACAACCTCGTGCACATCTGGGACACAGCTCTCATGTCGTCTTCCATCGCACCGGACGCTGCTGGCCGCCGCGATGGAGAAGGTCGTCGGAGGACGAACCCAAGCTCTGCTGCTACTAGTGCCACGGGATCCCATGTGCCTTTGCTTCATCGATTCGCGGATCACCGCGGAGCGGTTAAGGCTCTTGCGTGGTGTCCTTTCCGAACGCACCTGCTCGCGACGGGAGGCGGTGCGAACGACTGCACCATCCGGTTTTGGAACACGCAGACCGGCGGGTGCGAGAAACATGTCGACGCAGAGTCGCAGGTAAACGATTGCACGGTTGACATGGCAATTTACACTGGGATCAATCTCTGGCCCGTTTGTTTTTCTGACTTTCGAGAATAAATTCAGTCACTAATCCTTCGTTGTGTTTTTCCAGGTCACGGGCTTGCACTGGAGCAAGAAGGATCGTGAAATCGTAAGCGCGCATGGGTATCATGGAGCGAACAAGAACCAGCTGATCGTTTGGAAGTACCCCTCTCTCGTACCGCTGGCCCGACTTAAAGGGCATGAAGAGCGTGTGGTGTCAACTGCGCAGGTAAGCGACAGCTAAGCACTCACGCATTTGTTTCCCTTAACATGCGCTAATGTGCCTCGTTTATATTCCATGGCAGGCTCCTGAGGGTGACATCATAGCTTCCCTCTCGGCTGATGAGTCTCTCCGCATCTGGCGGGCGTTCAATCCTATAACTGCTGCTGCTGGGACCGCTAGGACTGGGAGTGGGACGATCAAGAGGGAAAATGAGGGAGAGATGATAGCAGGAAGTGGGTTTGGGAAATCTCAGATTCGCTAGCATGTGACTCGTTGGGGAGGAACAATGCTTTAGCTACAACTCGCCGAGAGGCTTAGTGATTAGATAAACAAACTAAAGGTTAGGTACACCAATCAATCTTGCCATGGTATTTATTCGTATATTATAGGAGACTTTCATTTCGACTTGGTACAATTATTATTTTCTGCATGCTAAGTCAGACCTTAGACTAGCATAAACGAAGGGAAGTGGGAAGGAGGTAGAGAGGGAACAAGCATACTCTCCTGCACTTGTGCAACAGTGCAAAACCCAATTCGTCAAACCTCTTCCCTCGACCAGGTTGAAACCACTTCTCAGCGCCATTTGCTTTCCATTACCATTTCCAGGTCGACGGGTTGTTTCTTGGAGCTCTAAGAACAGATGGACGGGGGCGAAACGGAAAGCATGTTTCCGTCAGAAGACGTCGGAATGGCCTTCGCTCCTGTGTCGGGGCAAGGCGCGAAGAAGAAGAAAGGGAAATCGTTTGGATTCGAGAGCATGGGCCTGAGTGCCGCCGTGTATCGCGCGGTGCGGCGCAAGGGCTACCAGGTGCCGACGCCAATCCAGCGGCGAACGCTGCCGATGGTGCTGGCGGGGCAGGACGTGGTCGCCATGGCGCGCACCGGGTCCGGCAAAACGGCGGCGTTTCTCATTCCCATGATTGAGCGGCTCAAAGCGCACTCGAACACGGGCGGGATTCGCGCCGTGATTCTCTCTCCTACGAGGTGTGACGGTGGTGAAGGAGGGAGTGGGAGTGGGGAGCGACTTGGCGTTGGTGGAACCGTTATGATGTCTTTCGAACCGTTTCGCAAGGGGGTTCAATGCGCGGATGCGCATTGAGTTTAATGGGGAGTTAAGAGAATGTATTACCGCCGCTGCCTAGTCTGTGGAGATGCTAACCATGCTGCCTCAACCCTCTCACTGCATGAAGGGTTGAGGTGCTAGCGACGTATAGACCAAAGGGACCCGGGTTTAGCCTTTCGTGCCGCTCTCAGCTCTTACTGAGCTGAATGGTCCATGGATTAGCAAGTAACAGAGGCTAGGGTTCAGGGGTTGACGGGTGTAGTGTTGAAGGGTTCAGGGTTCAACAACCACCAGTTTTTTCTGAGTTTTTTTTTGTTTTTTTTTTGTTTTTTCTGTTTTTTTTTTGTTTTTTTTAATTGGCGCGTGTGGAAGTGATATTCTGGCTTAGAAAAACGGCCACCAACGAAACTAGAAGGCTAGTCTTGTTCCTTCCTTTTCCCTGCTAAATTTGCCTTGCAGGTTTAGTCCCTTGATTTCTTTATTTCCGCCACCACCCACTCAGAGAGCAGGTGGTCACGGTCACCAGGGTGATCGACAGACTCACATTTCTGGACGGCACGGCATGGCCTGTAGGAGGAGATTAGACGGCATTTTGAGGAGCAGGCAATGCGGGGGAACGCCTTCTTTTCATGCCTTGGGCGCTCATTCTTTCCTGCTCATCCCTCCCTCCCTGCCTCCTCACGTGCCCCACCCACCCACGCACCACCCCGAGAGCTGGACCTACAGGCGTTCAGGTTCACCGAGGAGTTGGGTTGGGTGGTTCTGATACCAGGTAGCAGTATGGTTGACTGCTTTCTCTTTCTGCTCATCGCCTGCTTGCCTCCATGTGTCCCACCCACCCACACACCCAGGGAGCTGGCCCTACAGACGTTCAAATTCACCAAGGAGTTGGGCAGATTCACCGACCTCCGAGCAGCCGTGCTGGTGGGGGGGAAACATCCTTCGGAGGGAGGGTCTGGGATGATGGGATGGGACTGTGGCAGCCCGCATCCCCCCCCGCACGTTCTCATTCTTGCTTGTGCCCCCTGCTCTCGCATCACTTCCTGCAACCACCCTCTGCAGAGAGCTTGCCCTACAGACGTTCAAGTTCACCAAGGAGCTGGGCAAACTCACCGACCTGCGTGGGAGAGGCGCCGAGCAGAGAGTACGGAGTGTTCAACCCTGCTTGTCCCCCCCTGTTGTTTCTCCACCTTCCCAAACCACCCATCCAGGGAGCTGGCCTTACAGACGTTCAAGTTCACCAAGGAGCTGGGGAAATTCACCGACCTGCGAGCGGCCGTGCTGGTGGGAGGAGACAGCATGGAGGGGCAGTTCGAGGCGCTCTCACGCAATCCAGACATTCTCGTCGCGACACCTGGCAGGCTCATGCATCATCTTGCGGAGGTGGAGGGCATGAGCCTGAAATCCGTGGAGTACGTTGTTTTTGATGAGGCTGACCGGCTTTTCGAGATGGGGTTTGCCGTCCAGTTGAAGGAAATTTTGCGCGGGATGCCCGAGTCGCGCCAGACGCTGCTTTTTTCGGCCACACTGCCCAAGATGCTCGCGGAGTTCGCCCGGGCAGGTTTGAGGGAGCCGCAGCTGATCCGATTGGACACGGAGACGAAGCTGAGCCCGGACCTGGCGCTTTGCTTTTTCACGGTCAGACCGCATGAAAAAATGGCCGCCCTGCTGCATTTGCTTCAGGAGGTTATTCAGGTGGGGACAGCAGCAGCAGGTGGGGGAGGAAGGGAAATAAGGGAAGAGGGGGAGGATGAGGAAGAATTAGGAGAAGAAAGGGAGGATGAAGCAAGAGAAAGGGAAGGGAGAAGGAGGGGGTTTGCTGGGAGAGGCAATGGAAAGCAGACGATTATATTCGTGGCAACGAAGCATCATGCTGAGCTGTTACACGAAGTGTTACAATCCGAGCGGTTGCCATCTTCAGTAGTCTACGGTGCCATGGACCAAACTGCCCGAAAAATCCACATTGCCAAGTTCCGGGCAGGCAGAACATCTCTCCTCATCGTGACCGACGTTGCTGCTCGAGGTATTGACATCCCTCTCCTCGACAACGTCATAAACTTCGACTTCCCGCCCAAACCGAAACTTTTCGTGCATCGGGCAGGCCGAGCGGCGCGCGCGGGCCGTTCGGGCACCGCATATTCTTTTTTCACTGCAGAAGAGCTGCCCTTTGTGCTCGACCTGCACCTTTTCCTCTCCAAGCCCATCCGCCCGGCGCCACTAGATTCCGAGATCGAGGCGACAGGTGGCGCGAGCCTATTGGCCGCGAGGGAAGCGCAGGAGCGGGGGGAAACAGTCTACGGAAGATACATTCAAACCGAGCTGGACCGTTATTTGGAGCGGCTGAGGGAGCTGGAGAGTTCAAGTGTGGCTGTGGGGATGCTGCAGAAGGTGGCTGGGAAGGCCATGAAGCTGTATCTGAGAACACGGCCGGCTGCGTCGAATGAGAGTGCGAAGAGGAGCAAGGCGCTGGCAGGGAGGGAGGGCGTGCACCTGCTGCTGAGGGAGCGCGTGGGCGGGCTGGAGTCGGCTGCTGCTGCTTTCGCGGAACACCTTAAGAAGTTCAGGTGAGGGGGGCAGTAGGGGCTGGTTTTGGGTGTTGGGACATTGAGGGGCAGTGGGGGGAAGGCGCTGGCAGGGAGAGAGGGCGTGCACCTGCTGCTGAGGGATCGCGTGGGCGGGCTGGAGTCCGCTGCTGCTGCTGTTGCCGAGCACCTTAAAAAGTTCAGGTGAGAGCGGCGGTGGGGAGCGGTGATGGACAGTGGGTGCGATGTGGGGGGCGGTGGGGTGTGGTGGCTGAAGGGAACAGGGGAAACGGTTGGGTAGAAAGAGGGATGATTATGGGAACGGGAGAGAGGGAGGAATTGAAGGGTTGAGGATCTCAGGGCCTGGTTGGATCGTTATCACGTTCACTGCTTCCTTGCCTTCCTTTAATCTTCCTTCTGTCCTGCTCCACTCACAACGGTTGGATGCCTGTGTGCCTGCCTGTGTGCGATGTACCTGCATGCTCGGTGTGTGTGTGTGTGTGTGTGTGTGTGTGTGTGTGTGTGTGTGCATGTGTTTTGTGTGTGTGTGTGTGTGTGTTGTGTTTGTGCATGTGTTTTGTGTGTGTGTGTGTGTGTGTGTGCACATGTGCACGTGCGTATGCTTGTGCATGAACGCAGGCCGAAGCAGACAGTGCTGGAGCTCGAGGCAGAAGCTGCCACGGCGAAGAAGAAAGTGGTGCGTTGCGGTGGGAAGAGATGTGAACGGATCTAGGATAGCAGAGAGGAGATATGAGAGGAGAGGAGAGGGAAAGAGAGGGCAGAGGAGAGTGGAGAGGAGGGAGAAGTGGAGAGGGAGAGAGGAGGGGAGAGACGAGAGGAAAGAGGAAAGAGACCTTTCCAATTCGTCTTTTTCCTTATCCTCTTTCCCCCTTTCCTTGTCCTTATCCGCCTGTGTTTACTGGGCTCATCGGCCTTCTTCCAGGGCCCTTTTTCCTCCCCATATGCGTTTCCCATCTTCCCCATATGCGTTTCCCATCTTCCCTACCATCTCCCTCCCTCGCCCCAGGAGCCCATTTTCGCAGGGCTGGATGTGATGCGAGTCAAGAGTGTTTTGAGACGTCTCAAAACACTTCTTCAAACGCAGGGCTGGATGTGATGCGAGTCAAGAGTGTTTTGAGACGTCTCAAAACACTTCTTCAAACGCAGGGCTGGATGTGATGCGAGTCAAGAGTGTTTTGAGACGTCTCAAAACACTTCTTCAAACGCAGGGCTGGATGTGATGCGAGTCAAGAGTGTTTTGAGACGTCTCAAAACACTTCTACAAACGCAGGGCTGGATGTGATGCGAGTCAAGAGTGTTTTGAGACGTCTCAAAACACTTCTTCAAACGCAGGGCTGGATGTGATGCGAGTCAAGAGTGTTTTGAGACGTCTCAAAACACTTCTTCAAACGCAGGGCTGGATGTGATGCGAGTCAAGAGCGTTTTGAGACGTCTCAAAACACTTCTTCAAACGCAGGGCTGGATGTGATGCGAGTCAAGAGTGTTTTGAGACGTCTCAAAACACTTCTACAAACGCAGGGCTGGATGTGATGCGAGTCAAGAGTGTTTTGAGACGTCTCAAAACACTTCTTCAAACGCAGGGCTGGATGTGATGCGAGTCAAGAGTGTTTTGAGACGTCTCAAAACACTTCTTCAAACGCAGGGCTGGATGTGATGCGAGTCAAGAGCGTTTTGAGACGTCTCAAAACACTTCTTCAAACGCAGGGCTGGATGTGATGCGAGTCAAGAGCTGTCAAGAGAGGACAGGTGGGCTGCGCAGGGCTGGATGTGATGCGAGCCAAGAGAGAGTGCATCACACAACCAAAACAAATCCTTCCCCGCTCTTCCCTTCCCCTTTCCCTTCCCCCTTACTTCCCCTCCCTTGCCTCTCTCCGTGTCCCTCCTCTTGCCCCTCCCTGCCTTTCTCAACTCAGGGCCCCATAGCAGCGGGGTTGGATGTGATGCGGGCCAAGAGGGAGGCGCACCAGACAGCCATCAGCAATGCTTTCCCCCCCTTTGACCCTTTCCTTTCTTCCTTACGTTGCCCTTCATTGCCTCTCTCCATCTTCCTCCCGCCCTCACCCCAGGGCCCCATAGCAGCGGGGTTGGATGTGATGCGGGCCAAGAGGGAGGCGCACCAGACAGCCATCAGCAAGCGGCGAGACAAGCTGGTGGCGGAGGGCCGTGAGGTGTGGGGCCATGGTCTGGGGGACGATGGGGATGAGGATGATGAGGTGGGGGGAGAGGTGGAGGATGGGGACGGAGAGGAGGCGGAGGAGGGAGAGGAGGGAGAGGAGGGAGATGAGGGAGTGGAGGGAGAGGAGGGAGAGGAGGGAGAGGAGGACGAGGAGGACGAGGAAGGGGAAGCTGATGAATTTGATGGTGTTTTGGAGGGAGAGGATGAAGAGGAAGAGGGAGGGAAGGATGATGATTTGGTGGAGATGGGTGATGATAGTGATGGAGAGGGGGAGGCGGGTGTTGGGAAGAGGAAGAGGAAGGAGGGGGAGGGGGGGAGGGGGAGGCGGGCAGGTGAGGGGGACGAAGAGGGAGAAGCCAACCACCTTCAAGGATGACCAGTTCTTTATCAACAATATCCCTCCCAACAGGGTAAGCTGCTAAATTGCACAGACATTGAATGAGTGAATGGGTAGTTCACAACGACAGCATGCCTTCCCACACTATGCCATGGTCCCAACAACACCGCAATGCCATGCCATGCCACACAGCATGGCAAAACACACAGCATGCCATGCCATGCCATGCCATGCATTTAAGCTCTAGGCCCAAATTGCAAAGCGTGCGGGGCAAGCTTACTAATGTTGATCGGAGTGCTGTTTGAGTGTTGTGCTGGTTGCGAATTGTGGTTACGATAAGTGCGATGCAATCTGATTGGCCACAGTTTTCTGGTCGAATCGGAGAGCAGGAAACACCAAGAATATTGTGAGTGCAATTTGGGACTCGAGAACCAAACCTGCATGCTCCCTGGGGTTTTCTTAGTCAGCAAATTGCACTCACAAGATTCTTGGGTTTTGCTGCAAAACCCTGAGGGAGGGTGTAGCGCGAAGCCGGGTGAAACTAAACAACCCAACTTCCAACAAAGTCAACCTTCCTTCCTCTCCCGCCGCCCGAAGGTCAACCTTACTAAGGTTGATCAATTTGGGCCTTGAGCTTTAAAATGCATTGGTCTTGATTGACAGCATCAGGATGCATCACAGCATGCCATGCCATACATGCACCCACCCACCTAGAACAACCCATCCAACCCACACACCCAAACCTTTCTGACCCACACACCCAAACCTTTCTGACCCACACACCCAAACCTTTCTGACCCACACACCCAAACCTTTCTGACCCACACACCCAAACCTTTCTGACCCACACACCCAAACCTTTCTGACCCACACACCCAAACCTTTCTGACCCACACACCCAAACCTTTCTGACCCACACACCCAAACCTTTCTGACCCACACACCCAAACCTTTCTGACCCACACACCCAAACCTTTCTGAACCACACACCCAAACCTTTCTGACCCACACACCCAAACCTTTCTGACCCACACACCCAAACCTTTCCTTTTTTATTCTGCATTCCCACCGTCCAGCATTGGGAGAGCGGTCTTTCAGTCAACGGGCGGCCCAAGAACGAGTTCTCAGCTGAAGTGCAAAAGTATGTCCCACCTCACCTCACCTCACCTCACCTCACCTCATCTCATCTCATTTAGCGGAGACGGTTTGAGACGGCGGTTTCTCTTTGCAAGTTCTGTGGACATACTTCTTACTATTCCCCTGCTGTCCCCTCTCATACCTCTGCCTGCCGTTGCCTCTCATGTCCCTGCCACCCTCTCTCATGTCCCTGCCACCCTCTCTCATGTCCCTGCCACCCTCTCTCATGTCCCTGCCACCCTCTCTCATGTCCCTGCCACCCTCTCTCATGTCCCTGCCACCCTCTCTCATGTCCCTGCCATGTGTTTTATATACAACAATGATCCCTTTCACTCAATGCTCCCTTTCCCCCCCTCCCCCCCTCTTTCTTCGCCCTCCTCCTGATAGTTAGCAACCACAATTTCTCTTCCTCTTCCTCCCCACTCCCCTCTCCCCTGCAGCTTCGAGGCAGAGGAGCTGGATCTGGCTCCTGATGACAGTGCAGGCCTTTGAGTCGCCGCTAAAGCCCCCCCTCTCTTTCCGTTCAACTCCTCCTCCCCCCTCCCCCTTCCCCCACCTCCCCATACTCCGTCCTCCCCTGCAGGTTTGAGGCGGAGGTGCTGGATCTGGCTCCTGATGATGGCGAAGGGGCCCAAAAGAGGAAATCAGTGTTTCACTGGGATAAGGTACAGTGTTTCGTACAGATTTTACATATTGTACTCAGAATAAGAATGATGCAGCTTATCTCATATTGCGTAGTGGCTTGTCCTGTCGGTGGAATTAGTTGTTTGTTTGTTTCTTTTTTTCTTTTTTTTCTCTATCGTACAGTACGGATAACTCACAAGATTTTGTAATACTTGAAATATCTGCCTTTCCCTGATAGGTAGAGTGAAGCTTTGCGCATTGTACAGCGCTCTTTTTTTATATGCAGTGTGCATTTCTGTAAGCTTCTGTGTACCACTGGCCACTGACCAATGATGCACCTCACAAACTTATTCGAGCATCCCGCTTCCCTCCCCCACCACTAGCACAACTGTGTGTGTGAGCAGGCGAGAAACCTCAGTGCACCATTTACCTAAATGCCTCTCAATACTCCCTTGAACCTCCTTCCCCTACCCACCCCTCCCCTCCTTTCCCCACCATGCCTACCCTCATGCGACATTCTGTCCTTACCCCTTGCATTGGAGTAACAAAGCAAGAACTCATTTAGAAAAAGCACAATCACCTTCAACAATGCCCCTTTCCACGCCTCCCACCCCCCTCCACCCCTTCCCACCGCTCGCATGTGAGCAGAAGAGCAAGAAGTACATCAAGCTGAACCCCGGGGAGACCCTGGGTCCATCGGGCAAGGTGAGTGAGTCCATAGTAGGTGAGGCAAGGTGAGCTGGTGTGGCAAGGGTGAGTCCATACTTGGTGAGGCAAGGTGAGTCCATACTTGGTGTGGCAAGGGTGAGTCCATACTAGGTGAGGCAAGGTGAGCTGGTGTGGCAAGGGGTGACTGCAGACTAATTGCCATTGCCTTCTGCACTCTTCTTCCTTGTGGTGCGAGTGTTACTCGCTCTTCAAAGCAGGATCGACCGGCTCTCTGCTCTCGTCTCCATGAGTTCTTGCTTTCAGAAGCTCAAGTCCATTTGATCCCCATGAGTCCACTTCCCTGATGCTTCTGGCAGGTGCGCACGGAGAGTGGCGCCAACACGAGTGCGGGCAGCAAGGGCATTTACAAGCGGTGGAAGGAGAGGAGAGGAGAGGACGCACATGCGAGTGGGTTCCCCAGAACACCGTATTTTGTGACTGAAAAATTGCTCCTTCCATTTCCCTGATGCCCCTGATGCCCTTGGCAGGTGCGCACGGAGAGCGGCACCAAGACGAGTGCTGGCAGCAAGGGCATTTACAAGCGGTGGAAGGAGAAGACGCACATGCGCGTGGGCGGCAGAGGGCCACGTGGCAGCGCTGGATTGGACGCGGGCGAGGATGCTGACGGTGCTGGCGGATTCTCGAGGGGGAGGGGTGGAGGAAGAGGGGGGAGAGGAAGCCGAAGAGGTGAGTGGCATCGGTGGGAGTTGATTGTGCGATGGGTGGGAGTTAATGAGGGGATGGGTGGATGGGGGTGAGTGGTGGGGTTTGAGACACAGACGTTCTCAACCCTGTCGTCCCTTCTCACCCCTTGTCACCCATTGATGTTTGAAACCAAGGATCCCTCCTTACCCTGTCACCCCCTGTCACCCCCTGTCAATCCCAATCACCCCCTGTCACTCCACCGCACCGTGCTGCAGGCATGTCGGGCAGAGGAGGGGCGGGTGGGCGAGTGAGGGATGAGCTGCGCAGCGTGGATGAGGTTAGGAAGATGCGCCAAACAGCCATTGCCAGAGGAGGCGGGGGGAGAGGAGGGGGTGGAGGGAGAGGGGGAGGTGGAGGGAGAGGAGGGGGTGGAGGAAGAGGAGGGGTTGGAGGAAGGGGTGGGAGTGGAGGGAGGGGAGGAAGGGGAGGGAGCAGAGGGAGGGGAGGGAGTGGAGGGAGGGGTGGAGGGAAGGGAAGGGGTGGAGGAAGGTCGAGTTCGAGTGGGAGAGGGGGAGGTAGAGGGGGCAAAGGCAAGATGGGAAGGGGTGGGAATCGTATGTAGTACGGTATACTAGTTTGTGCCAGTGTAGGATGAACATGCATATGGGCAATGAGAAGTTTATTTGCTTTTATGTCTACTGTGCTGCATGAAATTGTAGTCAATGTGAAGCCTTGTGTTATGAAGAGCATGCAAATGAGTACTCTTACCTGTTTTTTAACAAAATTTCTAGGTGAAAATTAGTAATTTCAGTCTCTCAGGTCTCAACGAATTCGTGTTACCACCCAATCGGTGCATCGCGAGCCTCGATTTCATCCGCCACACCAGATTCTTGTGAGGGACAATGCAACTGCCAGCCTTCCCGCTTCCTGCTGGTTTGCCTGCTTCCTTACTGGAGGGAATGTCCAAGGAGCATCGCAGATCTGCGTGTTTGGTCAACTGGTGCTGCTGCTTCTGCCATCTCTCACCTCTGAATACGGTGGCTGTTTTTAGTCGTTCTGCTCACTGATTCGGCAGGATCGGCTGCACGACTAAGGATCCTCCTTGATCTAGCAATGCCTGTGTTAGCATCGCGGAATGCGTAGATTTGTCTTCGATTTCCGTGTTACTAATTAGGGCACATCGCCATTCAGTTTTTTTACCGGTTTCCGATTCGCTAGGTTGTGATTTGGATAGGAAGGGTTTGGATCCTGATTCTCAACGTCTGAGCTCACATCTCTGGTCTTGGCAAGATGGTGCGTTAGATTCGCAGTATGTAACGCGTTCATGTAGTGTCTTGTTCCACTCGCTTTAGACTGACGACTTAGTTTCTCTCGTGCAGGTGGTCCTATCAGCTGCGATCATCAGCAAGACGGGAAAAGGCATGTTATCATAAATTCACCTGTCTTGCTCAAATAGTCTAGAACTTAATCACTTAGCTAACCTTACTTTTTAGATTATTCTTAGCCAGCGTCATATTCTCATTCGCGTGGGATTTTGTTGGTTGCTGCAGCATTGGTGGCTCGACAATTCGTAGACATGGCTCGGATTCGCATCGAAGGGTTGCTTGCAGCTTTCCCTAAACTCATTGGAAGCGGGAAGCAGCACACGTTCGTCGAGACCGAGAATGTGCGATATGTGTATCAATCACTCGAAGGTCTCTATTTACTGCTGGTCACGAACAAGCAAAGCAACATCTTAGAAGATCTCGAGACTCTTCGCCTACTATCGAAGCTCGTAAGTCGATCCCTAGTCATCAAAGCTCCCTGCTTCATGCTGTATCAATCTAAAATTCCGAGTTCCCGGCGTCGTGACCTGATCTGATTCATGAGTTTCTGTCTCCTGGCTGTGTAACACCAAATAAATGTCCCCTTACACATATCTCCGTGACATCCCAGGTACCTGAATACTGTCCAGGATTGGACGAGGAATCCGTGTGTCACATGGCCTTTGAGCTCATATTCGCGTTCGACGAGGTCATTTCGCTGGGCCACAAGGAGAACGTGACTATAGCGCAGGTGAAGCAGTACACGGAGATGGAGAGCACGGCGGAGAAGCAGTACAAGGCGGACATGCTGAGCAAGATCAACGAGACCAAGGACCTCATGAAGAAGAAGGCGCAGGAGATCGAGAAGCTCCGGGTATATCATCAAACCTCATTTGCTTGCTATCTCATCTGCTTACTATTTCTAACACACGTTTCCTACCCCCGTGCTGCTTCCCATGCTTAACCACCGTCGATTGCATGCGATCGGCGGTCCTGGCGTCTCCCTCTTTGTTTTATCTCGGTTTTTCGATTCGCCGTTGGCAGGCGGACAAGAGAGTCGATCGTGGGGGGATTTCAGGCGGGCTGGCGAGCATGGGTCCGGGTGGGGGTGGTCAGATGTCCATAAACAATGGCTTCCCGGAGATGGGCAGGATGGGAGGCGGTGGAGGGTTTGGAGCTCCCGTTTCATCTGGTCCAGAACCAGGTGCGTGCTTATGCGCTACTCGAACCTGTTACGTAGGTAGGCGATACAGGAACCTTGTACGTGGGTAGGCGTAACTCGAACCTAGCGCATGGATGCGCGATATTTGAACCTGGCTCGGGGATGGTGATATTCGAGCCTGATACGTGGGTAAGCGATATTCGAACCTGGTATGTGCCGAGGGGGTACTCGACTTTGATACGTGCCCGAACGAGAGTCGACCATGATACGCGTAGGCGGGTTTCGACCGTCATTTGTGCTTGTAAACTAGGCGTGCACAACCCTAATATTTGAAAGAGCCCTCGGATCATGCACATGCGATCTGGGTAATGTTCGAGCCTGGTGTCATGCGATAGTGAGGACGATCGACCATTGACACTCGAATTCTCGCAACGATGACTTTGGGGCCCGTCGTTGCCCCGCTATTCCCTCAGCACACATTCCCCGCGCCGTCTACGATCAGATCCCTCCCCCGCGTTCAAGCAACACCTTTTCCCCCCCTCCTCCACCAACCCACAGGGCGGGCGGGCGGGAGTCTGGCGGCGCCGTCCAAGGGCATGGGCATGAAGCTGGGCAAGTCCACCAAGACAAACCAGTTCCTCGAGTCGCTCAAGGCGGAGGGCGAGAACATCGTCGAGGACGTCATGTCCGCCGCCGCCGGTCCCGGTCTCGCGGGCGCTGGTGCTGGCGGGCCAGCGGCGTTCGTGGCGACGGATCCGATCACGATTCTGGTGGAGGAGAAGCTGGTGGCGGTGTGGAAGCGCGACGGCGGGCTGGAGAACATGGAGGTGCAGGGCACCATGGCGCTCACCGTGCTCAAGGAAGAAGATGCCTTCATCCGCATCCAGGTGCGTTGGCGCGGGTGGAGGAGTACGTGGAGAGCTTGTGAATTGCGAGTGCAGCGTCTGTGTCTTGTACGTGGAGAGCTGGTGTCCTCTGGGCCTGTGTGTGGAGCGCTGGTGTCTAGTGTGGTGACTGTTGAGTCGACTCAAGCGGGCTGGAGAACATGGAGGTGCAGGGCACCATGGCGCTCACCGTGCTCAAGGAGGAGGACGCCTTCATCCGCATCCAGGTGCGTTCAGGCGGGACTGTGGCAGCGGTCTGGGCAGGCATGTGTGGGGAGTTTGTGAGTTGCGTGTGGTGTGGAACGCTTGGGACTGGTGTGTAGAGCGGTTGTCATTTGTGTGTGAAGTGGTGGTGCTTTTTGTGTGGAGCAATTGTTGCTTGTGTGTGGAGCGGTTGTCATTTGTGTGTGGAGCACGTGTATCTTGTGTGCGGAGCGGTTGTGACTTGTGTGTGGGCGCTTGTGTGTAAACGCTTCTGGCTTGTTTTGGAGCGATTGTAAGCTGTGGAACGTAGGGTCTGTGGGGCTCTGCTCGTGTGATATCAATTTGCTGCTTTCCTTCGTTCCTGGTTGACCCTGATGCAGATCGATGGCGGGCATGACAAGAGCTTCCAATTCAAGACGCATCCGAACATTGACAAGGCGCTGTACGGCAGCCAGAACATCCTGGGCCTCAAGGACCCCAACCGGCCCTTCCCCACCGGCAGCCCGCTGGGCATCCTCAAGTGGCGCATGCAGTCCAAGGACGAGACCGTCGTCCCCATCAGCAGTATGTCTCGCTCCCCTTCCTCGCTCACTCCGTTTCTCTCTTCCTCTCGTTTTTTGTTGCTGCAACGTCTTAGGGAGCATCAATTTGTGGTGTGGGTCGTCCCTCCCAGGCTGTGTCTTTTGTTTTTCCTCCATTCTCTCCCACAATTCCCTCTGTAGCCCCATATCATGGCCCACCTCATCCCTCTTCTCCGAACGCCTGTTTATGTCCCGCTAGCCGCGGACATGGGTGCGAGCGCAGTCCATTCTGCCCTTCCTCATGCCGCATACTTGTGCATTATGCAACCCGGTGTACCTGGTCCTCCCCATTCCCCGTGCCCCTGTTTTACACGGTTTTTGTTTCAACAATCAGCTGCTGGCGGTCATATTTGGGTTGATAACACATGTGACCATCGAGTATAACACCTCTCAGGCCGTTCCACACTTACGCCTGGCGTACAATCCCCTCCTGCCTTGGCTCCCATTTTTCCTTGAATTTCAACCGTGGCCCCTATTCCTGCAGTCAAGTTCTTGCCATCAGTGTCAGGCACGGATATCAACTTACATGAACCATAGCGTACAATACCTCACAGGGTTTTCCATAGGAGCTCAGATTGAACTTTCCTGAACCCCGTGGCTCCCATCCCCGTGTTTCCCACTTTCGCAGTCAACTGCTGGCCATCGGTGCTGGGGCCGGACGCGTATGTGAACAGAGGGTACGAGGCCACGCTGCCCTTGCTTAGTTGCTCAGACTAACCTTCCCTGCCTTCCTTTTCCGTTGCTCCCATTCCCATGGGGGGGCACTCCCGTGCCTTCCCCTCCCACAGTCAACTGCTGGCCGTCGGTGTCGGGTGCAGACACGTATGTGAACATAGAGTACGAGGCCACACAGGCATTCGACCTGCGCCACGTGGTGGTTGAGATCCCGCTGCCGGCGCTGCGTGAGGCGCCCACGCTCAAGGACTACGATGGCGAGCCCAGGTACGTGCTACGTTTCTTTCCCTTTCCCTTCCTTTCCGTCGTCTTCTTTTGTCTTCCCCTTTGGGCTGGATGTATGCACTCCGTTTGAGGGATTTACGCTGGAGAGCCAAGGTCACGAACTAGCTTTGCATTCGCTTGATTCCCACGAACCCCCATGCGGTGCAGAGCTCTTAGGGTTTCCGGGCATGGTGGTTTAAATTGAAACACTGTGATGTGAAGCCGTTCTTCCTCTACGTTTCAACTATCTGCCTTGTGTGCATGCATGCAGATATGATTCAAGGAGATCCGTGTTGGAGTGGTGCATCGACCTCATCGATAACTCCAACCGCAAGTAAGATTTGCCTTCCAGCTATTGTCAGCTGTTGGTCTTGTTGTAGTCTTGGCTCCTCTTTCCAGCTCAAAAGAAGCTAAGATAACTAGCCGGGCCAGGTAACGAGGGGGGGGGCAATACCTGCAGTCACATGCTTGAATTTAGACAGTGGGACCGCGTTGATGTGAAGGATGGGTTACAACACATTGTTCTCATGGTCAGTTCGTGCGAGAATTTCAGTCACAAATGGTAGAAGAACAGTGGTTGCACTGCACTCCTCCACCCTGGGTCTCTCTCCTCGCTCCTGTTCACTTGTTAGCCCTTGCTCACTGGTTGCTCATTTGTTCCTCATGTGTCCTGTGCCCATTCCCCGTCGGTTACTCTAACTGTTCCTTACCTGTTCCCCGCCTGTTACTAACCTATTCTCAACCCGTTCCCAACCGTTCTCACCTGCGGCCCACCTGCTTCAACGCCGTGTGGTGCACGCGTCGCGTGTGGCAGTGGGTCGATGGAGTTTGTGGTGCCGGCCACCAACCCCGACGTCTTCTTCCCCATTGAAGTGCGCTTCACGTCCGCCAAGACATTCTGCGACGTCAAGGTCCGTCCCTCACATTCCCTGCCCATCACCCACCTACCCCACCCCTTTGATCGCCCCTTTCCTTCATGAATGCCTCCCCAACGCCCCATGCTTTTCCCAATCCGTTCTCAACGTACCCCTTTTCTATCCCACCCTACCCCCTCCCCCCCCCCCCCCCCACCCCTTCTTCCACCATCCTCCATCACTTTCATCCTCACCCCTGCGTTTACCTCCCCCACCACGCCCTCAACCCCCTCTCCCTTCCCTCCCTCTCTCCTTCTCACTCTGATATTTATTTTCTGCCCACTCGCACCTTCCTTCTCTACCTTCGCCTGCTTTCCCTGTCCTGCCCTCTGTTCACCCATGTCCTTTTCAACCCCTCCCCTTCCCTGTCTTGGCGGTACCTTGTTCCCCCCCCCTCTCAAGCCTTCTCCACGGCCCCCCCTTACTACTCTCATCACACCATTGAGCTCCGTATAGCAATTGACACTCGAGTACAATCGGATAGCTTATGCATTCTCAAAGTACTATTTTCCGTTGTTTGGCCATTTCAGGTGGTATCTGTGACTCAAGCAAGCAGTGGCCAACCAGTCAAGTTTGCAGGGAGAACACAGATGAGTGTGGAAAGCTACCAAGTCGTTTAGCTGGAGATTCTTTGTTTTTTTTGTTTGAAGCGAACTCGGATGAACAGGTTAAGAGGGTGGGAGGGAGCTGTGCGGAGTATTTTTATACGGTGCCATGTACGGTATGTGTTCAGGTTTGCACACCTGTGTTAGGAAGTTAGGAAAACATGTGCTTAAGCATTGACCATGGGAAGTCAGATCCAGCAGTAATGTTGCTGTGACACAAATGGGTTTAGATGGCTTGTTTAGCACTGCCAAATTCTCATGCCTGTTGAAGTAATTTGGATATACATCTGCCTGCCACCTTGTTCTTCTGGAAATAATAATACCGTACGTAGGATACCTCTTACTGCATGACAGGATCTAGGCTACACGTGCTGCAGGTCGGCGGGCACCGCCTAGGTAGGGTTATCCTGAGGTCAGCGAATGCGCGTTTCCGTGCTTGTGACGCGTACAATGTCAGACCGCAACAGGCGCCCAACACCAATGCGCTTTCCTCCAATGGGCTGCGGAGAAACGCGTTCAGATCAGTTTGACTGCCTGTGCTCCAACCAATGCCTAGCGAATTTGGTTCGGGCAGTCCAGCAACATTCGACAACGGTGAATACGTTTTCTACACGGTTCTCGCTGATACCGTTTTGAATCGCAGCGAATCGCAGAAAACCGTGATGCATGTGTTAAAGATGAATGTGTGCCGTGTACCAGCCGTGACTCCTCCCGCGCACCTTGGTTCTGCGCTGCGCCTCTTGCTGCCTCGTGCTCCTCCCTCGACACTCCTGTCACATGCTAAAATGTCATGGCTGTTCCCTGGACTTTCATTCTTCCACTCATCTTGATAGTTTCTCACCGTGCGTCTAAGTTCAAGGATCTTGAAGCCTGATAGTTTGTCATATATTTGGAAACGCATAGTGACATTTTGAAAGACATACGCATAATTTCTCACTCCACGAAACCTTTTCTCCGCAAGACTCTGAACATTTGCTCCACGAAGCATGCCGAGCGGAGACGTTCTCGTAGCGGCGCAGCCCGCAATGTGCAGCAAGGAGGAAATGCGGGTGAGTGCCGCTCGGACGGAGACTGCAACTGAATCTCTCAACGCCAAACGCTCTTTGCGAATCATCAAAAGTCGTTGGGACGAAAAGAGATTCTGAGTTGCACAACACGAAACGCCGCGCTTCGTAACGAACGTAGCGCTGGCCGCTCTTGTGGCGTAAGCGAAATGAATCTGACTGTCGGGCAGATACAAACTCTCTGCCACGAAAACAATCCTCCTTTTTTTTGTTTTCTTTCAATGTAATAATCGGTTTCCTGGTTTGCCGTCCTTCCCGTCGCCTCCCCGCAGGTCTACCGTCGCTGGTTCGCATTCGTCGACTCAGGTGCGTCGTTTTCCACCTGTCTCCTCACCACCACCATTCATCCCCTTCACTCGCCTCAGCTGCTTCCTCTACACCATCTCAAGCATCCTTTTCGCCTGTTGATTCAACTTGATTGTGGCCTCGTCGGCGCCACGACTAAAAAATCCTACTCGCTATTATGACTCGACCCATCAGCCACCGCGTGCTTTTGCCGTTTGTTCCCTCTCGAGAATCTTAGCTCCTCCTCGCCACTCGCATGATTATTGCGACCATGCACACTCAGGAAAACAAACCCTGGCTGAGGCCGCATTGCTTTTTTGGGACGCGCTGGATTCCCAGCGTTCATTATTTTGAAAAAAAAAAAAAAAAAAACCTCGGCAGAAACCATACCAAGACTTCAGTCGTGCTAAAGTCCCCATTCGCCAAAACACTATCCCATTCACCGTTATTCCTCTCCGTTCCCTCCATTCTTTCCCCCCCGTGCAGATGGCGACGGGCGCATCACGGGTCCCGACGCCGTTCCCTTCTTCAAGCGCTCCGGCCTCATGCAGCACGAGCTCAAAGCGGTACGCGATGACACCCGTATGAACGAAACTGGTTCGAGATGAAACCCGTACGAGCGGAACCGTACAAGATGAAACAGCTTACTAGTTAGAATGAGTAAAGTTTGAAACGGGAACAAGCTGAACGAGGTACTGTGAGCTTAACCCGTGGCGATTAACGCCCGTGTTTGATACTGAGCCCAGTTCTTTGTCTCGTTGCCCCTCATCTTTCCTTCATCCCCAGTCTTCAGCTTGCCCCTGCCCCTAAACTATATCCATTCCATCCGCCTGTCTTCTTTCCCCCACATCTCCCGCGAACCTCTCAACCCCGCGCCTCCCACGTGCGCAGATCTGGGCGGCTGCGGACGACCGTCGCCAGGTACGAGCGCGCACGCGTGCGTGCGCAAGCACACGCAGAGCACCTCCTCCTATGACTTCCGCGCCCGCCTCCTCTCCCTCGCAGCACCTGCCTGCATTTCCTGCGCCCTCACACCGCTCAGCGCTCCTCCGCCTACGCCCGCCAGCACTCGTTGCACTCATGCTCTTCACTCGTTTCACGCGCATTCAACTCTTTTTCCAGCCCGCAGTGCAAGCCTGTACAATATGGTTCCCCGTCTCGTTGCCAACACACTGAACGACCCTCCCTCCCCTTCTCCTCTCCCTCTCCCTCTCCCTCTCCCTCTACCTCTCCCCCTCGTCTGCCTCTGCCTCTGCCTCTGCCTCTGCCTCTGCCTCTGCACCCCTCTGCACCGCTGTGCAGGGCTATCTGGGCATGGAGGAGTTTGTGGTGGCGATGCGGCTGATCGCCAAGCAGCAGCTGCTGTCGCGCGGAGAGGACATGCCCGGTGAGCAGCGCTGTGGGCATGGGTGCCACGTGGTGCATGGGGTCTGGGAATGCTGCATGCTGCTTGATGCATGGGGCATGGGGAAGGGGGATGGTGAAGCAACAGCAACTGCTGTTGCGCGGGGAAGACATGCCCACTGAGCCCTGTGGGCCCTGGGACATGCTGCATGCTGCTTAATGCACGGTGTTTGGAGCATGCTGCATGGTGCACTGCTTATGCTCCATGCTTCATGCAGTCCGTGTTGCTTTCGTTGGCGTCAGTGGTGACATGGCAAGAAGTTTGCAGTACCAAGGCTCCCTCCTCGTATCCCCATCCGCACACTCCTCTGCTCACTCCATGCATGCTGCCCCACGGACACCCAATCGCCCATCTGCCACTCTTCCCGCCGTCAACCCCAGCTCCCTCTTCCCTTCCCTTCCCTTCCGTTCCCTTCCCTTCCCCGTCCCACTGGCACCACGCTCTCCCCCCTCCACAGCGCGCCAGCCGTGCTTCCCGGCGCTGAGGGGGCTGGACGAGGAGCTGGCGTCCGAGAGCATCCTCGCCTGCATCGCCTCCATCGAGTCCGACACGCACGGTGAGCTGCGACCTGCGAGCCGCGAGGCGTGTGTTGCCTGCAAGGCGTGTGCAGCAAGGCATGTGCTCTGCGTGTTTGCTTGTGATGTGCTGTTAGTCGACTTGCACGGCGTCGGAGAGCATCCTAGCCTGCTTCGCCTCCAAGTTGGATCTTACGTTTTCGGTTCCTTACATTTTCGGACGATTACGACAATTTTTACGTTTACGAACGGTCGCCCAGATTCGGCCTTACGTTTACGGTCACCTAAAAACTTTTCTGAGCTGCCTGAGGGAAAAAAACGACCAGAGCATCAAGAAGATTCCCTCCAACCTAGTTCCGTAATTTGATATCTTGTCGACGTCAACCTAGCAGCTCGTTCGCAACCTATCGTGTTTCTCTCTAACTAACCTGGTCAACGCTGAATTTGAAACTTTCACGGCCTTGAAAGGCGCTCCATACGTAGTAAAGTCGCTATTCTAGAAAGAAACATGACAAATTAGTGGTACGATCTGGTACCCGTACACAATCCAATAAAAAGTATCACATTAGTTTTTTTTTCCTGCTCGCCTCATACTTACGTGTAATTTTACGCTTTCTTGACAGCATGGATGGTCTTGACAGCATGGATGGTCTTGACAGCATGGATGGTCTTGACAGCATGGATGGTCTTGACAGCCTGGATGGTCTTGACAGCCTGGATGGTCTTGACAGCCTGGATGGTCTTGACAGCCTGGATGGTCTTGACAGCCTGGATGGTCTTGACAGCCTGGATGGTCTTGACAGCATGGATGGTCTTGACAGCATGGATGGTCTTGACAGCCTGGATGGTCTTGACAGCCTGGATGGTCTTGACAGCCTGGATGGTCTTGACAGCCTGGATGGTCTTGACAGCATGGATGGTCTTGACAGCATGGATGGTCTTGACAGCCTGGATGGTCTTGACAGCCTGGATGGTCTTGACAGCCTGGATGGTCTTGACAGCCTGGATGGTCTTGACAGCATGGATGGTCTTGACAGCATGGATGGTCTTGACACCATGGATGGTCTTGACACCATGGATGGTCTTGACAGCATGGATGGTCTTGACAGCATGGATGGTCTTGACAGCATGGATGGTCTTGACAGCATGGATGGTCTTGACAGCCTGGATGGTCTTGACAGCCTGGATGGTC